TCCCTCTCTCTCTCTCTCCTCTTCATGTGGATGGGTCTTTCCCACAGTTTATGTGGTTCAAATATTCTACATGTCAAGTGGGCCAGCTGGATGAGAGCTGTTCACAGGCCTCTTTAACCAGTGAAGAGGATGGATGGGTGCCCTCTGCACCAAAAAAGGAAAGCCTTGTCATATATGTATAAAACGTTGCACAAAACTCTAATTAGCCTTCCTGCTGCCTTTGGGTCAAAAAGACCCATGAGGCCTCAGTGTGAAGTCTGGGGACCTTGTGGGTCAATTCAACAATCCAGGGGGCTAAATCTTTTATATGTAAGCTTTAAGCTGAAATTTAAACATTTTGCGCAGTGTTACCAATTAAGTGATAGCTGAATGGCTGCTGCTCAAAGGAATTAAACTTTAACTTGTGGCTTTAAAACCCAAGGAGAACAGCAGCCAGAAGACAAATTTAAAACGAAAGCCTCACAATCTAATCATTGACATCACAGAGGCTACATCTATCTTACATAATGTGGCTACGACTGACGCTCAGAGGTGAAACCAAGGAAACTCTGTCAAGTGTCATGGCTGGGACAGATCAGTGATGAATAAAGAGCGTCGAACAAAAAGATGGATCTATTTAGCTTGCTGACAGAATCTGTCCCCATTCTAACTCTGTGTGGGTGTTTTACAAATACACATGTATTTATAGAAGGTGCTATTCCAGGTAACATCCAGCAGCTCGGTAATAATTTCTTTGATTAGGGCAACAGGTAAGAGGCTGTTAATCTCCCCCCTGCCTCTCACAGGATTTAGATGTTGCAAACAGTGGCACGTCCCCCGTCATCACTCAACAAACAGCTCAGGAGGGGAAATACGTAGGGGTTCTGATTAAAAGGGCAGCTATGTTAACACACCAATCACACAATGTCCCGAAGGGATCACAAAATGTGATCTACCGGAAGAAATGGCATAATTGATGCTGCCAGTAAAAACTGTTTCTCAAAGTATTATGACCTAATGTTCATACATATAAACCTTTAAATTGCTTGTGACATGCATATTAATGAAATACAAAAAGTCAAAGAACATGTATTTATATTTAAGAAACTTGTCATAATGCACAATTTGACCTGTTATGGCACATAATTGGCTTATTTTTATTTTTATTTTGCTCAGCTGAAGTGAAACAGGAAGTGACATCAATGGGGAATTATTAAAGAAAGAAAACTTCCTGTTTTCTGTTTATTGAAACAATATTATTTGATCTCTGACTGTTTCTCATCTCTCTATGATAGTGATTAAAATTATCTAAAGAAACATTAGATTCTTCTCTACAGTCTGTGCTGTTAGCCATTTTAGCATTGCTCTGTTTACATTCGGACATTCCCCTTTGACATCACTTTCTGTTTCTTCACATGCAAATATCTCAACAACTGTTCATCTTAGCGGCGTGAAATCTTTTTTACAATGTTATCTTTCCAAAAAATACATTCATATTTATTATAAAAAATTGATGTCAGAGGCTCTTTAAAAGTACATTTAGAATTTCTAATAGTTGGGTATTAAACTGTGCATTATGGCATTTCATATAAAATGTTACAATACATACAGGTGCTGGTCATAAAATTAGAATATCATGAAAAAGTAGATTTATTTCAGTAATTCCATTTAAAAAGTGAAACTTGTATATTATATTCATACATTACATACAAACTCATATATTTCAAATGTTTATTTCGTTTAATTTTGATGATTACAAATGACAAYAAATGAAAATCTCAAATTCAGCATATCAGAAAATTAGAATCTTGTGAAAAGGTTCAAAATGGATGGCACCTGGTACCACACTCTAATCAGCTGATTAACTCAAACCACCTGCAAAGGCCTTTAAATGGTCTTTCAGTCTAGTTCTATAGGCTACACAATCATGGGGAAGACTGCTGACTTGGCAGTTGTCCAAAAGACGACCATCGACACCTTGCACAAGGAGGGCAAGACACAAAAGGTCATCGCTAAAGAGGCTGGCTGTTCACAGAGCTCTGTGTCCAAGCACATTAATAGAGAGGCGAAGGGAAGGAAAAGATGTGGTCGAAAAAAATGTACAAGCAAGAGAGATAACCGCACCCTGGAGAGGATTGTGAAACAAAACCCATTCAAAAATGTGGGGGAGATTCACAAAGAGTGGACTGCAGCTGGAGTGAGTGCTTCAAGAACCACCACACACAGACGTATGAAAGACATGGGTTTCTGCTGTCGCATTCCTTGTGTCAAGCCACTCTTGAACAACAGACAGCATCAGAAGCGTCTTGCCTGGGCTACAGAGAAACAGGACTGGACTGCTGGTGAGTGGTCCAAAGTCATATTCTCTGATGAAAGTAAATTTTGCATTTCCTTTGGAAATCAARGTCCCAGAGTCTGGAGGAAAAGAAGAGAGGCACTTCATCCACGTTGCTTGAAGTCCAGTGTAAAGTTTCCACAGTCAGTGATGGTTTGGGGTGCCATGTCATCTGCTGGTGTTGGTCCATTGTGTTTTCTGAGGTCCAGGGTCAACGCAGCCACATACCAGGAAGTTTTAGAGCACTTCATGCTTCCTGCTGCTGACCAACTTTTTGGAGATGCAGATTTCATTTTCCAACAGGACTTGGCACCTGCACACAGTGCCAAAGCTACCAGTACCTGGTTGAAGGACCATGGTATCCCTGTTCTTAATTGGCCAGCAAACTCTCCTGACCTTAACCCCATRGAAAATCTATGGGGTATTGTGAAGAAGAAGATGCAATACACCAGACCCAACAATTCAGAAGAGCTAAAAGCCACTATTAGCGCAACCTGGGCTATCATAACACCTGAGCAGTGCCACAGACTGATCGACTCCATGC